CAGAACCGAAGATACACAACTAAGGCCCTTTTGACATTGTGCTGTATTTGATATTTATATCCCACTGTATTCTTTACGTTAAATCTTATCATTAGAGGTACTATACGTCACGATTGGACTAATAGTATCAAAAATACGTGACTACGGCCCTTTTGACATGTTTCTGAATTTGATTTTTCTATTTCATTGTTTTCGCTTAATTAAATCCTCTCATTTGAGATACTGTACATCACGATTGGACTTATAGAAAGGAAGATATATAACTAAGGCCTTTTTGACATGCTGCTTTTCTGTCTTATTGTATTTTATTGGTTAAATCCTATCATTTGAGGTGCTGTACATCACGACTGGACCAATTGGAGCAAAAATATGCAATATATTATAACCCGTTACTTTTAATCACACCAGATGCTAGAATGATTTGTGGATGAAAAAATATATATAATTCTTAAATTTACTATTTCGTTGTGGGTAATATTATATTCAACAGCGATGCCAAATTTCTGATGCTAAAATGATTGATAATGAAAGTGCGATATACATTTTCATGTATATAATGGCAGCGAGTAAACGGTAAAACACTGAACTAAATATATATAATATTTTCACTGTACCATCATTTTAGACTCAAATATTTCCTGGAATAAACTTATATAACTCAGTAAGGGATAAAAAGAGAAAGCGGACATTTTAAAATACCAACACGGTATCAAAGCTCTAATCATTGAGATGGTTAAAATTCTTGTAACAAGTACAGGAAAAAAGTTATTAAGGTCTTGTAAAGTAGCGTCGATATACAGATGCTACTTTGCAAGACGATGCTAAATTGATGGTAAAAACATAATGTATCGATGCCAAAATGATAGTAGGATGTATATATATATATATATATATATATATATATATATATATATATATATATATATATATATATATATATATATATATGTATATGTATATATTGGATTTGAAATTTCCGCGGGAGCTATATGTGATTTCAGATGTTTTCCGCGTTTGACTCCGCGTTAAATAGTTTTGGTTTTTAGAAAAACCATTGTTTTGACGACGTTTCGGCAAGGTCACACTTGCCATTGTCAAGTCAGATTAGTTCTGCTTTGTGTTGATGTTTCAGGAGAACTGAATAATTCATTGTCTTTTAACCCATTGACGAAGATATCTGCAGAAATTTCTTCCAACATGTTGTCTGGTGCCTCTGGACAAGCTAACCGCACTATAACCAACATCTGCTTCAAACTCTTGCAAATTTTCACTTGCTCGTTGAATTCTACTTCTTAGTTGCTCCTTGTAGATGTATTGTAGATGGGCATCTCCGTAACGTTTGTCTAGTCGAGTGAACAACGCCTGCTAACATTTTTCTCGACCCTTGGGAATCGATCTTAGGATATCAACAGCATCACTTCGTAAAGCAGCAGTTAAGGAAACAGCCTTTTCTTGTTCTGTCCAATGATTGGCTGACGCAATAGCTTCAAATTGTCTACGGTATATGGACCAAGAGGACTTTTCATCAAATGGTGGCAATTTGAATCTCATATGATGTGTCATATCGTCTCTAGGTAATTCTTCCTTCATAACCGAATCTAAGGCTACCGTATTAATTGGTGGTAGCAAATTCGTGTTAGTTATCATGGTCTCTAATTGTTTGATCTTCTCTTCTACGTTGTTTACATTTTTCTATATCTGATCGAATGTTTTAGAGACTTCATCAAATTTCTCATTGTTCTGAATACGTACTTCGTCGAATCTTCTAGACATATTTTCGAATTTCTCGTCGCTTTGTCTAGCTGTTTCTTTAATAATTTGAGAAGTTTCTTCAATCATTTGAGACGTTTCACCGAATCTTTTGGAAACGTTCTCGAATTTATTTTGCTTGCTGAATTTGCTTAGAACCTACTGTATGATGCTTAGAAATAATCATGAACTTGAATACGTATTTTGAAAATTTATTTCTTCATATATTATGTTGGATTTCAAAAGAATGGCCATATCCATTAGGGCGGTTAGCTCGAACACAATTAAATTCTTTAAAATCATATTTTCCCGGTTTGAACCAGGTTTCAATATAGAGCTATAGTGATATCGTTCCGATGAAGTAAATATTCTAAATTCTCTTTATTAGTAACTGCTGAACGACAGTTTCACTTTAATATGTTTATTTTATTTAAGTCTGCGAATTTTATGCTAGATTTTGGTTAAAATGATTACTAATTAGCTGAATTACATCAGCTTTTGAAATATTAAAATTATTTTGTTTTATTGAATTAACAATTGTAAGAACCGAATCTAAAATGACATTTATTACAGAAGAATTTAACTCTTCTGACCGTGAATCTGCAAGTTTTTTTTGGTAGAATTGACTTTTAATTATTCCCTCAGAATATTTTGGAGGGGAAACTGTAGATACCATTTCTTTTCTAGCTATATCAGTTGAGTCTGTATTATTTGGTTTCTGCCTTTTATTCAGCCTACCTGTGTTTGTGTGAGGATTAAATATAAATTTAGCAAAATTATTTCACTGGGAGGAAGTAGAAGATTGTGAATTTTGTAGAAAATTGGTATCATTGTTGGCTCTATTGGTCCTAAGAATACTAGCATATGAATTCTTAGGCACTTGTTTATTTGCATCGTAAAAATTAATGTTTGTTAAACCCATCGTCTCTTTTATTAACTTTTGTCGTGAGAATTCTGGACACGCGCTTAAATTTGTGGTCAAATGATTCCTCTTACAACTGAAACATACTTGTGTGAACTCAACTTTTGTTTAATCCTTTGAATTATGAGTTTCTTGGCATCTGTTACATCTTAGCTGACTCTTACACTGATTTCCTAAATGGCCGTATCTATGACAGTTAAATCATAACAAAACTTTATGTTTATATATTTCAACTTCTTTAATAACCTTATTGATGACTATATATTTAGGTAAAGTTTGTGATTTAAAGGTCACAGTACAAGACTTGGTAGGGACATATTCGACAATTTGTTCCTCATTAACAATTTATTCTACTTTACGCGTAATTCTTTTAATGTTTGTAATTTCAAATATGCAATTACTATCATAGTGTTTAATTATATTTTTAATATACTCTTCCGATAAATCCCTAATAACTCGTTGTCTGTGTAAAATAAATTTTTGAATATACAGATCTAAATTATTCAAACGAAATATTTCTAGAGTTTTGTTTTTAATGAGGTTATTAGCAGTTTTATAATTTTTGCATTTGACTCTAATTCTATTTCGGCCAATTCGTCTATACTTGAAATCATATTTTTTGCTTTAGGAAAGTTAGACAAAATAATTTCACCAATCTTTAAAGGATTTAGTTTACCTTTAAACTCAGTAGAGCTATTCTCGATATATATATATATATATATATATATATATATATATATATATATATATATATATATATATATATATATATATATATAATATGATATGGGCCTAGATCATTACTATTGAATAAAAATGCTTGCCTTACCTGTTTTGTTACTTTTTGTTGTGATTCATTGTAAATATTGAGATTGGTTGTATTTGGATTATTCATCAAATTGATGAAATTTTAGTACTTACACAAAGATCCATTTCGGCATCACTTTGATTCTCGAATATATTTCCCGACATAGCTGGTTTTGTGGGATTTTTTGGATCAGGGGGTTTCCTTCCGCTATTCATATGGTTGGTTCAATAAACGATATTGCTGTTAGAACGCCACAAATTTCCCAATTTGAGGCACAATATAAATTGTATTAAATTCAAACAATGGGCGGTTTACTGGAGTCTTGATTATTGCTGTACCGAAGGCACGTCTAATTTCTATGAATGCTACTACGGAACTGTATGTAATACTGTTTAAATCTCTAAAAATTTGTAAGGAACTTCAATAAGCGTCTTTCAAGTTTGACAGTTTTTTGACGTTTTTGAACTTGTAGTTGTTGATTCAGAAAATTATTAGATTGTGGGCGAACAGCACATTTAGTACTCAAGCTGCCATTAGATGTTCATTGCAAACCAAATGCAATATGTAACATTAAAAAAGTGTAATGGTTGCAGTGATACAAACAAGTTCAGTTATTATGGCTGGGATAAATGTACTATGGCTCATAAAGATGCACTCAGAGCATTACATAGAAATATGCAAGAGTTAAACGGCAATGACAATTCCGTTATTCTTCTCTTTACATATGCTGATGAGATTAATGCATGTTTAACACAATCGTTTTTATGGCAAAATATCGAAACAGTTCGATTGACCATTAAGATAAGAGTACAAGTGCAAAATAATCTATAGACGCAAATATTTTCCAAACTAGGATTAGGATATATTTTTTTCCCGATTATAATGTAATGGTTTATTTGAATATTTTTATTTAAATCGTAAATAGTATTAATTTGTATTAAGTAAACAAATGTTTCACTACTGTATCTGTCCGAGAATCGAGTTAAGATACACTCTAAAAACACATGTGTTTCCTACGCCAGACACGAACCGAATATTTATAAAAGTGCATCTGAATATGTCAAGTTGAAACAACTGTAAATAAAATATTTGAATTAATATGTAAATACTCTAAATATTATATTTGAATGTATGGAATCAATATTTACACAGATAAACTATGTTCCGAAAATACCATATAAACTATTATTTTATAGAGAAAGACATTTAATGAAGGACATGCTTCTGCATAGTCTCCCTGAAGAGTACTACGTATAAGCGAATACTGGAAGCACTACATTGAAATCAAATCTTAACTGTCTTTCCGTATTTTCATTTTCTCACGTTTTGAGTACTAGAAATCAGTTCGCGAAAGGTTTTTGCCTAGATGAATTGATATGTTGTGGGATGCAAATTTAGATTCTGCATGTCGGTCCATTTGTAGTCTGTCCGTCAATTTAGTTTCGAAAAAATAAGAAATCTTCGGACTTCGACTGTTTTTTTATACTTTTATAGTTGCTCTATTTTTAAATGTATTTTTAGGCGCACTATGACGATGAAGATAAAGATGAAATAGATGTATATGCAGAATTATCCGAGGAGGACGATGATATTGAAGAAGATATTGATGGCTCATCAACTGGTAGTGCTGATTCAGCACAGTGCAGATATTCTGTTGAAAATTCTTATAATGAAGAGAAGGAACAGGCCTGCTTATCTTTAAAAGATATATGTGTAAATACAGGGTAAGGACACACATATTTTTTAACTATTAGTGCCAAATTGTTTTTGATGTGAAAACTTCAGTACTCAAGCTTATAAATATCTCAACTTAGCGTCAGCATAAAATCGGTTAATGTTGTGAGTTGCATAAATTTGGCGAATATCGCGCAAAATTTAATAATAAAACTATTTTCTTGTGACATTTTTTACAATTATTTTTTATATGGAATTAAACCACAATTATATATAATGGCTATACACCCCAGCGTGGGGTTAAACCGCGACTACTTTCTAGATCCTATTTCTTGGGCTATCAGTCCCTTTTTTATGTTATCTTCTCAACAATATCTCTCCATTTTTTTCTGTCTAGTTTTTCCTCTCCATTCTCTGACTCCTGCCATTTGGAGGTCTTCTTCAACTTCTTGCAGCCACTTTGATCTTGGTCTTCTCCTTCTCTTTCTTCCTCTTGGATTCCATTCTAATATTGCCTATGTCACTTCCTCATCTCCTGCTCGCCAAATGTGACCTGACCATCTAACGATTACAATTAATTGTAAATAAAATTACATTAAGTTTAATTATGTGTAATTATTAAGGACATATGTCTTTATTACAATCGTGTCATTGTCTATCTGTTTGTCTCTCCATTTAGGTCATAACTCTCGAGGGAAGAGTTTTACAGTCCCCAAATTCGGTTCAAAGATTCCCTTTGGTGAAAAGAAGAACCCTATTAAATTTGGGGTCGATAGGTATTCTTCTCTTATTCATAGTCCTGGTTTTAAAATTCGGTCCCACTTGGTTCAAAGAAAAACTATATTGAGGTCAATCTTCTTCTTATATTCATTGCAAACTGCTAGATATTGTTGGCCATCGGTAACTTGCTGATGTATTGTTGGAATAAAGGTATTCCCAAAGGTAAAAGTCTTGTAACCTTTAGAAAGGTCAGATTTTGCTGTTTACTTAAAGCACAATGTCCTTTTGTTTTATATTCCTTTGTACAGAGGTCGCCACAAGCAAGCACTGGTACATTAATTGTTAGTAATGGCCAGATAGAATTTCCTTCTAATGATTAGAAAACATGATATACGTATAAGAGAACGGTGAGACTCGAATTAAAAAGAAATGTCACTGTCGATATATATATATATATTATATATATATATTATATATATATATATATATATATATATATATATATATATATATATAGTTACGAACGTGCATTTAACGAGGCACGTATAACGGTTGCATCTCGAAACAGCACCTCATGCTTCCATGCGGCGCGGCGGCATCTCGAAAGCGACTCGATATTTCGAGAAAGATCTGTCGCGTTCGCCTAGAGGTGGGAACTTTCTAGAAAATAGTAACTTTAGTATATATATGTAACGATCTTAGGAATAAGTTTAGTTGATAAGATAGTATCGAACTGTAAAGTTATAAATAAATATATAAATTCGAACCGCTCGTTTTATTTAAAAACGGTACAGTTGGTGTCCGGTGTGGAGTTACAACATAAATCCAGCAGTGACTTTTGAAAAAGACTTTAAAACTTTTGAAAAGTATTGTTCGTCGGGAACATCCGCGTAGTTCGGTAGTGACCTTTGTACGAAAGAACATTTATAAAAGTACGTGTGTGCCTGTACAAAGATGCTGCTAGTACAACTCTCGGTAAAACAGTTGCGTGAGCAATTAGAAGAACGCGATGAAGACTGCAGCGGGTCCAAGAAGATCCTCCAGGAGCGACTAAAGAATGTTCTTAACAATAATGGAGATGACCCAGAGACATTCCATTTTCAATCAGCAGAAGAAGCAGTTTTAATGAAGATCGAAGAGAGTTCCAGAAAACATGATAAGAAATTCGAAAATGTGTCTAGAAGATTCGACGAGAAATTTGAAAACGTCTCGCAAATGATTGAAGAAACTTCAAAAAAAAAATGATGATAAATTAGAGAACGTTTCCAAAAGATTCGATGAAACATTCGAAAATGTATCTAGAAGATTCGACGAGACTTCACAAATAATTAAAGAAATATGTATCCAGAACAATGAGAAATTTGAAGAAGTCTCAAGAACAGTCGATAAGATACAGAAAAATGTAAACGACAAGATAGAAGACGTAGAAGAGAAGATCAAACAATTAGAGACCATGATAACTAACACGAAAGTGCTACCACCAATTAATACGGTAGCTTTAGATCCGGTAGTAAAAGAAGAATCACCGAGAGATGAAACGACACATCATATGAGATTCAAATTGCCACCATTTGATGGAAAGTCCTCTTGGTCTATATACCTTAGACAATTTGAAGCTATTGCGACAGCCAATCATTGGACAGAACAAGAAAAAGCTGTTTCCTTGACTGCTGCTTTACGAGGTGATGCTGCAGATATCCTAAGATCGATTCCCAAGGGTCGAGAAAAATGTTACCAGACACCTTGTTCACTCGACTAGACAATTAAGACAAAACTAACATAAGACTAACAAAAAAGACACGGTACAATATATATATATATATATATATATATATATATATATATATATATATATATATATATATATATATATATTATATATATCCCGCAATCATTCTGAACTCTTTTCACGTTGCAGTAATTTACCATCTCCAAGAATTGCTATCACCTAGAGACGAAACGACACATCATATGCGATTTAAATTGCCACCATTTGATGGAAAGTCTTCTTGGTCCATATACCTTAGACAATTTGAAGCTATTGCGACAGCCAATTCTTGGACAGATCAAGAAAAAGCTGTTTTGTTAACTGCTGCTTTACGAGGTGATGAAGGGTCAAGAAAAATGTTACCAGACCTTGTTCACTCGACTAGACAAACGTTACGGAGATGCCCATCTACAACAAGTCTACAAGGCGCAACTAAGAAGTAGAGTTCAACGAGCAAGTGAAAATTTGCAAGAGTTTGAAGCAGATGTTGCTCGTATAGTGCGGTTGGCTTATCCGGAGGTACCAGACAACATTTTGGATGAAATTGCCGTAGATACCTTCGTCAATGGGTTAAAAGAAAGTGAATTACAGAAAGCTTTACGACTAGCGAGACCGAAAGTTCTAGATGAAGCGCTCGCTATTGCCTTAGAACATGAAACAGCTAGTCAAACTTCACGGAGCCATCGAGTAAGAACCATTGAAGAAGGCGACGAACTAAACGATGAACGTCTAGAAGAAATGGTACGAAAAATACTTCATAACACGATGCCGAAGAGACGCGAGCCCAGATGTTGGAATTGTGGTGACGTAGGTCACATTCGCCGTAATTGCAAGAAAATGATACAACAGTCGGAAAACTAGAACGGGTCGACACTAAGGGGCAACTGCCGACCTCGAGAAACACAGCCCCCATAGTAACTGTGAACATTACGTCCTCCGGTGGAATTCATAGCTTGTACATCGAGGGTCGTATTAATAATAAATGTATATCGTTTTTGGTAGATACAGGTGCAACAAGAACTATAGCACGACCAGAAGTAGTACGAGACCATCTTAAATTATCGCCTGCAACAGTAAAGCTTAGAACAGCAACTGGTGAGATAATTAATACATATGGCGAGGCTAATATGTCAGTATCCATTGGCCAGACCACAGTGAAACATCGAGTATTAGTTGCAGAGATCTCTGACGAGTTCATATTGGGGATGGATTTACTACGGAAAGTTGGAGCTGTATTGAATGTCAAAGATGGAGTTCTCGAGATCGGTAGTGAAGAGTTGCCATTTCATGAAGACAAAGAAGATGTTATCAGCTTAATAACTACTTGTGACGTAACAATACCCGGTAATAGTGAGAAAATTTTGATGGCCAGACCTGATGGTTACTGCCGAGAGGGAAGTTTAAGGATGGTCGAAGATGTGAACAATGCCGAGTTCCTAACGGCAAAAGCTTTGGTGAGAATTCGAGATGTCGTTTCTGTAAGAGTTATGAATTTAAGAGGAACTGCTATTAAGTTAAGTAAAAGAACTTTGATCGGACAGTGTGTTCCCGTGGCTTCAATTTGTTCCATGAGTACTAATGAGAAACCGTCAAAATCTAAGTATCCAAAGGAGCTTGTAGAGACGATGATTAAAACGTGCCAAGATCTTAATGATGAACGAACTAAAAAAGTGAAGTCTATGCTAATAGAATTTCAAGATGTTTTTGCCATTGATAAGAAGGATAATGGCAAAACAAGCATAGTAAAGCACAAAATTAATACCGGAGACGCTCAGCCAATCAGACAACAACCTAGACGACTTCCATTTGCGAAAAGAGATGAAGCCGAAGACATCATCAAAGATATGAGCAAACAAGGGGTAATTGAACCATCAAACAGTCCATGGACGTCACCAGTAGTGCTAGTAAAGAAGAAAGATGGTTCAACACGTTTTTGTATTGACTACCGACAGCTCAATGCAGTAACTAAAAAAGATAGTTATCCTTTGCCCAGAATAGACGATACTTTGGAAACACTTTCTGGTTCTCGTTGGTTCTCCACACTCGATCTGAAAAGTGGATATTGGCAAGTAGACATGGAGCCAGCTGATCGTGAGAAAACCGCATTCTCGATAGGATCAGGGCTTTGGCAGTTCACAGTTATGCCCTTTGGTTTATGTAATGCCCCAGCCACATTTGAAAGATTAATGGAGGCAGTTTTAAGAGGTCTAACATGGAAAACATGCCTGGTTTATTTGGATGATGTAATTGTAGTAGGAAGATCCTTCGATGAACATGCCAATAATTTGACAGAAGTCTTTCAACGATTGCGGGCAGCAAATTTGAAGTTGAGTCCGAAGAAATGTCACTTGTTTCGACGAGAAGTGAAGTACTTGGGACATATTGTAGCAAGTAATGGTGTTACAGCTGATCCTGAAAAACTTGCAGCAATTAAGGATTGGCCGGTACCAAGAGACAAACACGAAATTAGAAGTTTTCTTGGCCTTTGTACATATTACCGACGTTTTGTCAAAGGATTTGCCAACATCTCCAAGCCATTAACAAAGTTGACAGAAGAAGGCAAAGA